TTCTTTCTTTCTTTCTTTCTTTCTTTCTTTCTTTCTTTCTTTCTTTCTTTCTTTCTTCCCTTTCTTTCTTCCCTTTCCCTTCCCTTTCCCTTCCCTTCCCTTTTCTTTTTGAGAGGTTTTTGCTATAGGGTGCATGCACTTGCCAGAAAGATAAAAGAGGGACAGAGAGACAGAAAGTGAGATATCACCCCCCAGGGAGGATGGCCATGCCATGCTGCAATCCCTTCTCCTCCATTCTCCTCTCAGGATCTTGGGCACACACACACATGTGCCAGGCATGAGCTTAAACCACCGGGTCCAGGACTCGAACCGTGGTCGACTACATGGGAGTTCAGCAACATAGCCATTATGCTAACTGCTGGTCCCAGAAATATCTTTTTCTCAAGTCCAAATCCTTCTACTTCCAAGAAGCCCACTCTAAATAGAAAGCCCCTCTGCAGAGTTCCTCCCTGCACAGTGGCCCTCTCTTTCCTCGCCCTCTTGGGCTGATATGTCAATGGGGCCCACTATCCCCAAGCAGAAACCAGGAGGGGGCGGTGTCCTTCCCCCTAGGAGGTCAGTACATAATCTGACCCATGCCATGATCCACACCACTGCCCTGAATGTCTGGGAAGCATAATGTCAAATCCCACTGGTCACTGCCCAGCACTTGCTCCCAGCCCCCAGCACCATTGCCATACCCACTGCTGACCCTAAACACACTCATGAGCTCCCAACCTCGTCTAACTAGATACACCAGCCCCCCACCTGCCCTCATTAATACTCTCAGCTCATCCGTCTTTGCCTGGGTCACACCCACCCAGCAAAGCTGCACCCTAGTGACCCTGAGCATAGCGTCCTTGGCCCTGCAGCGGCCACATACCACCATGATTCACTGAGGACAGACACCAGGCCTCATACATCTGCTGTGCTATGTTTTCCAGGCTCCTGCCAGGGTTGTCACCCCAAGACTTCTGCACCTCCCTGGTCCTCCTTCCACTCCCAGGGGACAACTGTGTCCTGCTTCTCAGCAGAAACAGACAAGTCTTCCTGCACACATGCTGGTCCTCCTCCTCCTTGCTCTCTCCGGATGGCCCAGCACTCCTCCTGTGCTCCAGAAGTCTGTCCCACGCCTTCCACTAGGACTCTTACCCTAGCAGCCATTCCTCCTGTGCACGCAGGCTCTATGGTCTTTCAGCTCTCCCACTGGTAATTGACATCCTAGTCTCGCCTGGCCTGGCCCTACTGCCCCTCCTTGCAGTGGCCTCTTTAAGAGTCTGTGCTGCTGGTGAAGGTTTTCCCAACCTCCTGCTTTCAATGCAAGGACACTGCTCCCTTTCTTGGGGGAACTGACCCTGGTGGTGGCTGTTCGGGCCTCTCCTGGGTGGTACCCTCATCCCCATGCACTCAT